TCCGTGGCCACGCCACTGACTCTGGGCCCAGAAGTCTCCAGGTCTCTTCACGCTGCTTGCTTGCCAACTGAGTCTCCAACTGGGTCCACAGAAGTCCACTGAACATTGTAGGGCTTAGCTTGCCGCTTCATTGCTGCTTTTACCCCACTTCCCCCCCTCGGTGATGTGTGTGGTCACCAATCAGAGCGTGCATTTCTGTTGAGTCTTAGTCTTGGAAAGGGGCCTGCGTTGAGAGGACCTGGCCACTTGCCTTGATGTTTTCTAGGGAAGCGATTTGTTTGTTCTTGTAGTAACAGCCCATCTGCCTCCATTTTTCCTGCAGGTCTTTCTTTCAAGAGGTATCCTTTATTCTTCTAGCCGCTCCAGGCTGGTCTGCTCATCCTTTCAAGTGGATCTCATCTCTGGAGATCTGGATGTGGTCCATTTGATTTCTTGACTGCTGCTTCCATGAGTGTTGACTGTGGACCCAAACAAAATGAAGTCTTTGACAACTTCAACAATCTTTTCTCCATTTATCATTACATTATTTATTGACCCAGTTGTGAAGAGTCTTGCCTTCTTTACTTTGAGGTACAAGCCATACAAAAGGGCTAGTTTCTGGTCTTCATCATTAAGTATTTCAAGTAATCTTCAATTTCAGGAAGCAAAATTATATCATCTGTATATATCAGGTTGTTAAAATTTTTTCCTTCAATCTGATGCCATTCTCTTCTTTAAATAATCTAGTCTTGGATTATTTGTTCAGCATACAGAGTGGATAATTATGGTGAAAGAATACAACCCTAGCACATACCTTCTCTGACTTAAAACCATTCAGTACCCCCTTATTCTATTCTAACTACTGCCTCTTGGTCTGTGTACAGTTTCCCCATGAGCACAATGAAGTGTTCTGGAATACCCATTCTTTACAATGTTATCCATCGCTTGTCATAATCTACACAGTCAAAGCCTTCACATAGTCGATAAAGTACAAGTAAACACCTTTCTGGTATTCTTGTTTTCTGCCAAGATCATCTGACAGCTGCAATGATATCTCTTACTCCACATCCTCTTCTAAATCTGGCTTGAACTTCTGGCATCCTGCAATCACTTTTGAATCATCTTCAGCAAAACTTTGCTTGCATGTGACATTGATATTGTTCAATGATCTCCCCATTCCATTGGATCATCTCTCTTTGGAATGAGTATAAATATGAATCTCTTGCAATCAGTTAGTCTGGTAGCTGTCTTGCAAATTTCTTCTTATAGATGAGTAACTGTCCATAGAATCTTTCAATTCTGCAACACAAGTCTTGAATTTTTTTCTTCAGCTCTTTTAGTTTGAGAAATGGCTGAGCATGTTTTTCCGTTTGGGGTTTCTAACTCCAGATCTTTGCACATTTCGTTAGATATTATGTCTTCTCAAGCTCATTTTTGAAATTTTCTGTTCCACTCTTTTACCTCATCATTTCTTCCAGTTTCAATGTTCAAGTTTCAGAGTCACTTCTGACATCTATTTTTGTCTTTTCTTTCTTTCGTCTCTTTTTAATGACCCTTTGATTTCTTCATGGATGATGCTCTTGATGTCACCATACAGCTCTTCTGGGTTTGGGTCCTCAATGTCTATTGCATCAAATTTGTTCTTGAGATGGTCTGTCTCTACATTCATGTATAATATACTCAAGGTTATGTTTTGGCTCTCATGAACTTTACTTTTCTTCCGCTTCAACCTGAACTTTCATAGGAGCAATTGATGGTGTGTTCCACAGTTGGTCTCTGGTCTTATTTTAGCTGATGTTATTGATCTTCTCTAGAGCCTCAGAAACCTTAAGGAGCAATCCTAAGGTGTTTTGTGATAGCTAGAATTCTGAATTGAATCAACAGCTGTTAGTTTGATTTGGGGGCTTGGAGTTTCATTACATGCTAGGCATAAAAATTCATTTTTATAATATCTTTGCAGTTAGTTTTTTTGTTTGTTTTTTAAAAAATGACCCTGGTTGAAAAAAATCAGCAAGATTATAATCACAAAGGCACTCTGGTTTGCACATGACTGGGAAGCTGACCAAACCTTAGTCGTAGGTGCTGAAATCAGTTTTTTCACTGTTTACTGTTAAAAGTTATCTACTCAGTTGGCTAGCTTGGTGCCCCAGGATTTCTCCTGCAGCCAGCTTTCTGAGGCATGGCCTGTACTTGCTTCACATAGAAGTATTGCAGGTACTGAAAGCAAGCAGGAACATTTCCTTTTCTCAATTGATATTTCTCCTCCAGAGCAAACAGGCTTGAAAGCTCACTTGCAACAGGTTTCTTTACTGCTCTCCTCACCTGGATTTACTCAAAGAGAAGTTAATAGGCTAGTCAGTCCATTTTAAAAAGAAGGAATGGAAAGAAAGCCGAATTCTGTGTTATTATCAATTGGTCTGTCCAGCTAGCAGTTACTTGAATAACAATGAATCAATTTACCTGAATCTTGTCAAACCACAAAGCATTCTTCCTGCTGGGCCAGGTTGAAAGCAGAGTGGTATGTCTCAATGCCAAGAACAAGAAATACGGCATAAAGAATTTAAATGGGCAAAATTATGGAACGCAAGTTATTTAAAGAGGAGAAAGAAACATTATACTCTGAATGCAAGGAATAACAGGGGGCCCAGTCATTTATCAGCTAATTTAAGACATAGAGTGTCACGTGGGGGCATTTAAAGCAGTGACCTGCAAAGAACGAGGGAGCAAAGAGACAGAGTCGTGAAGTGGCATCCAGACATTCTACACTCCATGGGCTCCGTGCCACGATGCCACCCTGTTCACATAAGGCACCTCATGATACGATTTGATCAGAGGCTTGGGCAAGACAGGAGTCCAAGAGGATATTTATTGAGATCAGCTACTAAACTGGAATCCCTGGTGTGGAACTGTCAGATAATGCACTGGACCACAAGGTCGGTTTGAACCAGAAACCCTTCTTAACAGGGCCATCAGAGCCCATTCAACAGCACTTAATAACAACTATTAACTGGAAGATTGGTGGTTTGAACCCATTCAGCAACACTGTGGAAGAAAGATCTGGTGATTTGTGTCTGTAAAGATTTGTTGTTGCTGTTGTGGTTCCAACTCATAGCGACCCTATGTAGGGATTGCAAGGAGCTCCTGGTGCGTTTGAACCACTGACCTTGTGGTTCAAACCGACCTTGTGGTCCAGTGCTTTATCCCACAGCACCACACCAGGACTCCAAGAAAACCCCAGGGAGCAGTTCTACTCTGACACCTGATGTTACTATGAGTCAAAAATCTATTCTATGGTACCTAACAATAACCACAATTTCTGCTGGGAGGCCTGTTTCACCTGTTACGTGATCCTGACAACAATCTAGAATAGCAAGTAGTATTATCTATGATATATTATTACATCTTACATCATTTCCAGTTATATTCCAGTGGAACTCAACTCTTAAGTGGGCAGCACAGGTTTGAAGTAGATCTGTTTGCCCCTAACACTTGTGTTTCTTCCATTCTGTGTTACCCTGGGACAGCAAGAAACATTAGAAGGCATGCCAGGGGAGCTTCTGTCTTCTACCTTGTCTGAGCAACAGTTTGGAGACCATGCACAGATTAAATAAAATATATCAGCAGACAGTGAGAAAAAGAGAAAGTGAGAAGTGAAAACTTTTTTGTTTGTTTGTTTGTTTGTTTTTAGGAAAGGTCCTGAGGCCAGATTGTTATTTTTCTTCAGGGAAATTCTTATTTCCCCTTGATTTAAAATCATAATTAATGTAGAGATAGACTGTTGTTTATTTACCCATTACCATTTCTTAACAGCTTTCAAAGTTACAGTGCACCTGTTACTAAAACACTAGCGTTGAGTCAGAGATTGAGAAACAACAGGAGAGGGAAGGGAGTTAACTTTAAACCTAGGTTAATCTTCACAGCGATAGAATCACATTTGTTCATAATTGCCTTCATATTTTTTATTCTGAGCTCTTATATAAAGTCATCAGAAAGAAGGATTCCCCCTGTCCCTTTATGGGTTAAGTGGAGATAGTTGCAAAATAAATAGATAAAAACATGTTCCCCCGGTTTCCAATATTTATAATTGACTAAGGGTTTAATGACCCCTCACATCAACATAAAGCCTGAGGCTTGAGTGAAAAGGACATGTCCAACTAGTACAAAATGAGCCAGATTACACACAAAAGAACAATTGGAAAACTATAAATTCTTATAGTTAGTAGCAGATTAGTTTTAACAGCTGGTAAAATAAGCATACATGAGGAAAGAAAAATTAAGCAAATACACACATCCAAAACCAAATCAGGAAAAAAAAAAGCTGAAGTATACAAGACTGAAGTATACAAGTCCGTAACAGCTGTATCCAAGAGGACGGTTAATGACTTAAATTTTATTACTTACCCACACAAGTAGAATCCCCATTTCCTGCAGGAGGGCCATTAGGACACTTCCAGTACTGCAGAGCTGAGAGACTAACAAAACTAAACTGAAAAACTACTGAAAATAAAATCATAAATAACAGCAGCAGCATCTTGATGGGTTTGAACTTTCAATAGAAAGTGAGTTGATTTTGCTAGAGAAGAGCCCAGGCAAAGTGTATCTGGCCACAAGCTTGTCCCGCAAGGCTGGCCTTTGGCCTTGGGGCATCTTTTGACTCTTCTGTTTTGCTCTTACCCTTCAGCTTTTTTTCTTCTGCAACTCAAGACAGCTTCCAAATGCAGCTTGAAAGGGCCACTTCAGGAAAGATTTCAGTATCTCAGTTTTCTGGAGCCAGTAAGGAATACCTGACACCCTTATGACAAATTTAGCAGAGTTGAACACGCAAGTTCTGGAGGCCTGCAGCAGACTGCTCTGTGACAGACAGAGCAGTGAGCAAGGCAAAGGCTCGGGAGAAAGAAGAAAGGAAAGAATTGATGGAAAGTTCCACCCACGGCGCTTGGATGAGTCTGAAAGAAGAAATATGGGGACAGGATTCCTCCCCAAACACCATTTCTCTTTTTGAAAAGTAGAATGACTCCTCTTTCCTTTTTAAAGCTCTGTTGGCTCCACCTCCACTCATTTAGTGACACTTGAGTGAGCCTCTGTTTGCAAATGTGAATGTGGGCAATTCCACGCCACAGGAAAGCAGGGCCAGCTGCCAAATAGGAGATAACGCCCTACTCACCATAAATATTCTGGGCAGAACCAGAGAAAGAGCAATTAGGGTACGGGAGGGAGCTCATGGTGTCTCAGATATACCTGTTGAATACTGGCTATGTTTTAACATCTTGAAGGTTAAGAGACAAAGTTAAACCACACAATATAAATCAATGATGAACACCACCACTGATAATTCCAATTTATAATCATTGATCATTCACATGAGCAATATAAATTATAACTCACTTACAGCTCATTATTCTAACAAAATGTCAACACCCATACACATTCCAGGACCTTAATCTTTCTTTTCTCTCCTGTATATTTTATAGCGGAATTTGCAAGATTATTCTTTCCAAATCAAAGGGAAATTCCTGGAGCCAAATAAAGAGATATAGTATGTACAGACACCTTTTCTTTCAGCATGAACATAATAAAGCATCATGAAGGGCCAGGAGTATGGGGAAAGAAGTGGATTGTTATGATAAAGCAGGGTTGGAAAAAATAAGCTAATTGTGGAAGCACTGGAAACCCAGCCGAACCGAATGCTGCTCTTTCTCTGGCAATGTAAGCTATGGTTCACTATCAGTGATAGAAACTAAAAGCTTCAAGTATTGATTCAGCTGCCTGCATCACTACTTTCTAATAGGAACAACAGCACTCATTTCTTCAGAAATACACAAGGGCCTAGAAATAGCCAGCTTAGGCAAATCATTGATACCAAATTGAATGAATGACAGAAAATTCTGCTAGTTTACTTCATCCTTGAAGCTTTTCATTCAAATTATCCAGAGGTAGTGTTCAAGGTACAAGTCAAAATGCAGATAAAACAATAATCACAAAAATAACAGTTATAAGAGTGGATTCCCATTACAGAGGAGAATGGGAACAACTCTGTCTTTCCCCATATTTAATGTTCTGATTATTCAACAAAGACTATGTCACCTTTTTGAAACAGCTAAAATCAGGTGAGTAGATGAGATATTCCGTTGCTTTTTGGACTCATTCAAACTTAAGACTCAGAATGAGTGTTGTACAAACAATCAGCCCTGACTATTTAATTTACTAGACTTGTTAATAAGCTTCCCCATGAGCAAAACTCACTGCCAGGTCATTGTAATGAGTACAAGGGGAGGATGATGTGAACATAAATATGAAATAATCTACTACCCTAAGAACCGACTTGATGGCACTTAATAATAATAATATATTCTATTTGGGTTTTCGATCTGTCATATTATTTTTTTATTTTTACTTAAGTTTTCTTTTGTAATTACTATTCCCTGGGCTGATCTTGTCATTGGATGTACAATGGTTAGCATGACAGGCTGTTAACCAAAAGGCTGGAGGTTCAAGTTCACCCAGAGATACCTTGAAAGAAAGACCTGATGATCTACACCCAAAAAAACATAAATTGGAAAGCCATAAATTCTTATAGTTAGTAGCAGTCTTTAAAATATCAGTCTTTTAAAATGCTATGGGGTGATTTATATTTGTGGGCCATATGTTGGCTTTCTAGGTCACAATCCCCTAGTGTTCAGGTAGGTTTGAGACAGCAATGTTTGCACACTTTAACAGAAAGTCAGGAACGTCAGCTGAGGGCACCTGGGTGTGGTTATGAAGATAACTAAACTGCTGACATTTTTCAGCGAATTTTTCTTCCTTTAACCGAGTGACTGATTGGAATGTGCTTGCATTGCCATGCCTGTGGGTGTCTGTGGTGGATTCATGGGAATCACAGCATCCACTTCTGAAGGGTTAGGGATGCTTTGAAGCATCCCTTGGAGCCACAGGAAGGGAGATGTCAGCAATCCTGTGACTTGAAGGCTTTGACAAGAACTGAGTGGGTTACATTTTAAAATAACACCACTGGTAGAATGAACAAGATGGTGGATCAGGTGGAAGTGCAGTAAGGAGATCTGTCAGCAACAACACAGAATACAAAACCAAGCAGGCTCAGGGGAGGATCCCAGAACTCTGAACCACATATAAAGGAATATTTAGAAGTTTGGAAGGCTGACAGCTAGGGGAATTTGTAGCAGAAGCAAGAAA